GGTTCATGCTAGCCAGGCAAGTATTCTACTACTTCAACCATGCCTCTAGCCCTTTTAGTTCTGGTAATTTTAGACACAGCGTGTCACTTCTTACACAGGTCAGCATGGACTGCAATCCTCCCACTTTATAATTGCTGCCATAACTGAGATGATAGGCATGCACCATCATACAAACTATTGGTTGAGATGCAAACTTATTTATTGACTTTTGGTCCAGGCCAGTCTTGTACCATGATCCTCCCAATCTTAGCCTCCCCGGTAGTGAGGATTACAGGCATGAGCAACCAAGAGCCAGGCTCCTGTGTTTTTCTTTCTTATCACCTGGGTCATGTCCTCTGCAGCACTAACCAGCATCCTTACAAGTTTGTTCCTTCATTTGCTTATTCAAGCCTCCTACATTGAGGTTTTTCTTTTCCATAAGTTCCATGAAGGTGAAGGCCATATCTCACCTACTGTTGTTGTGGTCCCCATGTCAGCATGGTGAATATTGTACGGTTAAATTCAGCTAAATATTTTGGGAATGAATATTTGGAAGAAAATGAAAGCTATCTTTTAAAAAATTTTTATTAATGGATTTCACTAGTACTGGGGAAAAAGAAGGTCATCTCAAAGTTTTTGAAAGATTGAATCAGAGATTTTTAAAGACACTTGTAATCTGGTACTGCATTTACCTATTTTCCAATATGTATCTCAATTCATTCTTTGGTTGTTTCTCCAACACAAGCATGGCATTTACTCCCAGCATTGGCATGGAGTCAAGCAGTTGTGGAAGCTGAACTGGTTTCTACCTCCCTTCAGGCAGCATTGATGCACCTGTCATATGTACCATCACTCCAGGATTCAATGTCAGAGAGGGCTGATGGTGCACAAAACATACAACATATATGCTCTCTGGTCACTAGGCTGAGCTCATCAGTGCTAGTAACAGAAAAATTTGCATTGACTTGTGAAGCTGGCACCCAGTTCAAAGGGTGACCTATGACATAATATAGGAAATTGTCATTTTCACTGAGATTATCTTTTCTAACCATGCTAGATCTAAAACTACCAAGGATCAGAAACCATTCTCAGTTTAGCCATTAAACTGAAAGTAAGAAAGGTATACCTAGTGGGTTGGAAATGAGGGGGCCATTTCTCCATTCCATTTACATCTGCCAAAAGACTATAAGAAGATGAGGATTATTCGAAATACCTTCTCTTCCACTGATGGTTCAAAAGCTAAGGGAAAGTACTGTCAGGGTAAACTATTTTTAATCTAATGCGAGTAACTGGCTATTAGCTTCAAATGTGGAGTGAGAGCCACAGGCTGTATTTGATAATGTGAGTCATCTAATCTTATATGGAAATCTTCAGGGTGATGGAGAACTTACAATTTCTTGAGATGAACTATTTCACAATATCCTTCCCTGTGTGTGTGGAGTTCTTTTGAGTTATACTGACTATGAGGTAAAAAGGACTTGAGATGTACACCTGGCCAATATGTCTGAAAAAGTTGGCCATAACCAAGTCCTATGTTTTAATAGGCCAGCAGGTTTTTGTAAATATTTGTTCCATATGGTATTTGTAGAACAGTCTGAATGCTTAAGTAAGTTAATAGAAAAAACAAAGACCACACACAAACTTAAGATACACATTTTTAATGCTTTATTTTGTATCCATCCCTTTGTTTCTACCTCTACATATAATCTATCAATTTATGAGTATATAAAATAATGTTTATATAGATGGAAACTTTGGGAAACCAGAATTATTCACCTACCACACAAAAATATCCTTTAATAAAAGGGTAATAAACATAGTAATTACTCATGAAAGGTCTCCATTTATTCATTCAAGAACTATTCTGTGGTGTCAATGTGAGAGGTCAGAGGAGTTGTAGGGATAGGACAAGAGCTTTCTAGTGCTGTGTTCCTTGAGGGAATAGATAACAAACTACTAAATGAACAAATAAAGAATTTCAAAGGATGATAAATGCTATTAATGATCTCTTTGACAAGAATATTTGAATGCGGGGTACAAATATGAAGGAGATAGCTATAGAGGTTTTGTTTTGTTTTTTTTTTTTTTAGAATTCTGAATAACTGGCCTTGAAAACTGAAGATGACATGATTACCCTTCACACAGCCAATACCAACAGCAAATTAGGAAGTAGAAAACAGGTAGGTATAAAAGTCAAATGTGTTTGGGATAAAATAACAAGTAGGGGATTGGACTGGCAGCATTGGTCTACAAGGCACAGGCTACTGGCCAACTTCACCTTGCAATGAATCACTGTGGTAGTGTGGCAAACAAGAACAATAGTACTTGCTTTCCAAGATTGCTGCTGAGAGATGAAAAAAGTGATTGTGCCTTGTGCTACCCTATTACCTGGCACATAGCAGAGATCAAATCCCCGTGCTGTCCACAACCTTTCTTCTATCTTTCACTCTTGAGAAAGGTAGCTGCCCTTTTCAGATATCTTCATGCTTCTTTCCCTTCCCTGCATCCACTGGTCCTACCACTAAGTGATCACTGCTGAGTTGGTTTTGAAAATTTGTAAAATGAAACTTAGAACAGGGAAAAACAATGGCCTACAGTTTTTCTGGCAACTGAAAGTGACACTACCAATTATTGTAATTATTATGCTACTGTATTACATGGCCAGCTTATCTTATCTTGGGTTGCCTTCGATGTCTTACAAGTGACATATTATGCTAGCATGCCATGGATATGTATTGAAGAGTGAGATTGCCCACTGTAAGAGAGAACATGCAATAGAAAGATTGAAGGGTAAGAAGGAAAAGGAGTATATGATGGGTCCTGGGACCTTAGTAATCTTTAAAGTGAATCTCCTCCACCATTGCTAATGGGATAAAAGGGTCTTTACTGGAGGCAGGGAGTAAAATAATTATTCCAAGTCAAGACATTGATGGTATCTCAAGTATTGGCATTAGTTTACTTGAGTAATAGTGAGGAGACTATGAAAATACTGGGGTAAGAATAAATAAAGCAGCACTGTAATTATTTGTGTGACATATTCTAACCCACATCCTTTAGGTATAAAAAGTCAAGACAGTTGAGCAGAGAGCAAGAGGTAAGAGTAATGAAAGAGAAAAAACTGCACACAAAGTGATTTTGTGTGAATATTGTTTGTGTGACTATCTCTGTGTACCACATTTTTGCCTGGATGCTTCTAGCAAAGCAACGTAATTATTGTGTGATCTCAGCAAAATGACTAATCGTCTATGGCAGTCCAAGACCCAGCAGTATTTTTCAGGATAGGGACAGCCTGGCCTTGGGTCAGAGTATAGTGCTCTTCCTCAGGGCCAGATGGAACAGTCACTGGTGTAGCACAGCAAAGCCTGTGATAGCTCATCACCTTGATGGACCATGCCTGGTCAGTTCTCCTGCAACCTCACCTGTGAGAAGGGATTCTGTTTGAACACTGAAGACCTGCACTGACTTTAAAAACTGTACCCCTTTCCTACATACTGGTTTTCTTTCCTGCAGCTTACAGATGTGAAGACTGAAATGCACTGCGTGCTGGCAAGGCTGGAGTCATGTCCAATATCAAAGCCCACACTTGTGACAACAGTGGCTGATCCTGAAGGATCCCTGTAATCCCTCTCCATGTACTGATTACAATCTTATAAGCAGTTACTTATTCACACCATGTTTCCACATTTTAATGACCATATGAAAAGAACAAAAGCAATGACATCATATGAAAAATCAAGATTTATAACAGTTAAACACTAACTGGCCTGCCAAGGGCTATCACTGATAGCTGCACTAGAAAAAAAATGTCCAAAGTACAATGGAGAACATTATGGAAAAACAATGGTATTCATTATTTCTAATAAATATGGGTATATTACAACTGCTAACATCTGTTTTTTTTCTAGAAAGTTGAGGTTTCCCAAACATATAAAGCCACCAAGGAAGTCCCACCAATCAACAACTGAAGCGCTTGCCCATTTACAGAAATAAACAAAACTCACTGCTTTTACTTATTAAAAGTAGGGCTAGTGAAAACAGCTATTAGTTTGCACATTTAAAGAAGAAATCATGCACGGTTTATAAAACTATAATTAAAAGAAATTTTCTAGTAACTGTATTCTTAAATTATTAGTGAAACTTGTAGGAGGAAGTAAATAGAAGCTAAAGTTTATAACCAGGATTACTTAGATAACTAATTAGAATATTGTTTAATTCTGCTTCTACCATTTGTAAACTAGCTCAGTTTAAACAGAGGAGGAGCTGACGAAAGCAGTATAAATCCATCTCCAGTTCCTAGTGTTGATATCAGTCCAAGTTCTGTCATTAGCCATGAGAAATATTTTATATTAATCATGCTTATATTCTTTACTTTTATGTATGGAAATAGTTGTATGGTCAAATTTTTTCATTTTACAGAAAAGGTATAGTCAAAATTGAGATCTTTCAAATTAAGATATGCATACAGAACAGGAAAATTAGGAAGTGCACTTTTTCCAGATCTCCTCTGATAGCTGACCACTGTCCAGCCCAACCTAGGCTTCCCCAGTCATCGGTGTTGATACTCTGTTAGACTTAAAACCCTGTTCCCCTGTCCCTTAACATTTGCAGGAACAAGACTATTGCCATGAATGATTTTTTAATTTTTGTTTTTGTTCAAATACATTTCACATAACCAGGCATGAAGTCAGTTTTGTTCTAAAGAATTAGTATTAGCAATAAAAGGCCTGGCTAAAAAAATTTGCCATACTCCCTGTCTTTAAGAAGTGACTTGCATCATAACTGAGTTACCGTTATTTCTAAATATGAGCTATTGACTAATGCATGCAAAAATACTTTGGGGACCCAACAACTGTCTGTAATTCATTGTGTTGATATTTGACCTGTATCTCCGTGCAGGCCCAGTGGCATGTTATCTCATTCTTCCTCTTGGCAGTCAGTACTGCAAAATGCATCACTACAGGTGCACTCAAGTACTGACATTTTATTTAAAAAACACATAATGGATTCAGGAAAATACATACCTGATTGCACTTGCAGATAAGTGACCATAGGAGCCACTTGCTGAAGAGCTGCTACGGGAATTATTGAGAATTGTGACCAAGGAGTTGGGAGATGTTCTTATCATAGTCTGAAGGTCAAAGCTATGATCAGACAGTGGTGATATGGACAGGGTACGTTTGCGGCTCGGCCTGGCTGACAGCCTGGGGCTGGGGAATCTGGTGCCTGTTATAGAAACAAAACAGAACCTGATTACCTACTGTTGGACTCTATACCTGTTATTGATGGCTACTTGCCTGTGCGAAAGAAGTGAAGAATGAGAAGCTGGCAACTTGTGGTGACAAGCACCTCTCCTCCCCCTTGTGATCTACTGGCTACAATTGAGGAAATTAGGGAGAAATATTTATCTTCCAGGGGCTTACCTCAGGGGAGCTCTGTTTATTAATGCACAGGCAAAATGATAAATTGCTAAACAAAAGGGAGAGACTTTTATGTGTTATCCTTCTCATTTCTGGTGATTTATGAATCTGACGGCTGCTTAGATATTCCCATCATTAATTCACCACAAGTGAGGAAGACAGTGGTTCCCACAGTTGCAACACTTCCCACTCTAACACATAGCTTTTTAAGGCAATGAGCTGCAGGAGAAAATGAATTAAAGCATGCTAAAATAAAAGATTCAGCTTAGTTATATCCTTGTTTCCCCCATGATTTCTGTAGTTATCTGCTCCTTGGCATGCTTACAGAATTACTGAAACAACTTATAAATACATTACCCTAAATCAGTGATTCTCAATTGGGGGTGACTTCATACCCCAGGAGATATGTGACAACATCTGGAGACATTCTGGTTGTCACAACTCAAGAGGTGCAACTGGTGTCTAGTGGGTAGAAGCCAGCAGTGCCATCACATATCCTGCAGGGCACAGGGCGGACCATCATAAAGATTGTCTAGTTCAGTAGTACCAAGATTGAGGACTGCTGCTCTAAATTCTCATAATCTCACTGCATAAAATCTGAAAAAAATCTTTAAAATCTTGGAATGTTTATAGATTTGCCAAGGTAGGGGGGAGAAAACTCTGCAAGTATGATAATGAGATTTCACATGCCTAAAAGACAATTTAATTCTTTTCTCAACCTTGCTTCTCCAATCAGGACTAACGGAAGGCAATGCATTTATTAGGATTTTCAGGCTTCTAGAAGATTCCACCCATGGACCACTAAGATGGAGATTAGTGACTTATCTGAAACTCCTGCCAACTTATTAAAAAGGTTTTTACCTGAGGAGTCAAAATTTAAATGCTCATTTGCATTAAGGTCCAAAGAATGTGACCACTAGGTCCACGACTGTCTTTGTGAAGGTCACATGTACTTACATTAAACAGTCATCAAACTAAAGTTTAGTGAAAGAATGAGAATATAATCCCACCAGCTAAGAGACAAATCAAATGTGAATGGCACCTGCTTAAAGGGAACCAAGAAATCTGAAGTAGTAGATAAATCTTCTTTATAGAAAAAAGCCCAGGCACTTGGTCTCCAAAATATCCATTGGGATTATTTTGATCAATAGAGATGGATGGTTCTTTTGAGGCAGGGTCTCTCTACTGTAGCCAAGTTTGGCTTTGAATTCACCATCCTTCTGCCTCATCCTCCCAAGTGCTGGGATTATAGACGTATACCACCACACCTGACCCCAGAGATGGCTCTTTACACAAGATAAGCACCCAACATGCTTTCAGATAATTTAATGAAATGGAGTAGAAGACTATGTACGTCTTTATAGCTAACATGATAAGCACAAGCTGGAACTTAGTACCATCACGCATAAATCCAGAAAGCCAATCTGAACAATAAATGTGGCACCTTCTCAAATTATTCTTTCAGGCACACTGAAAATGAGTTCGTTATCAGTCTGATTTAGGGCAAGTTGGTACAAAATAGCAATCTCAATTGTATACACACCTTTTAATTTTTAAATCAGCATCTCAGTTTTACTACAGCATCTGACTTGAACATAACACTTACAGACTATGACAGGCTAATTTCATCATAGAAGGTTTTAATGAAGAAATACCTGTCACTTCCAAACAATTCCAAGGACAAACCAGGTTTGTTATTGACTTCCATATAACCCTTCACAATAGTCCTCAATGGGACTCACAGTGAGAAACAGCAAGACACACTAGACAGAGCTTATACCTGCAATATTTCTAGTTTTTAAAAATCACTAAAAGTGATGTAAGAGATAGTAGAGGATCTGATATTTATAAAACAGTAGAGGTCTTGTACACCTTCCCCACAGCATGCAAAGACAGGGCCTGGGAACCTCGTAAGTCCTTTTCGTCTTTTCCATGGACTCCTTAGATCACATGTGGCCTGGCTGGCACAACTCCTCACTGTTTTCCCTCTCAAGATTGGCTCTTATTTAAGTTCATTTCTGTCAATATAAATCCTGTGGATTTCAGAAACCCTCACCTCTAGGATGTTCCTTATAGGGATTACATGCTCTTGTAGCCTTTAATGTCCCTCTAATCCCAAGAAATATGTAAGAACTATAAACACACCTGTTTTGGCATGCTATTCTAATTTCCATCTCATCGAAGCCCAGATATGACCACTGTTGGCACATTTAAAATTCAGATGACTACCTGTTTATTCTGGTGTGTGCCAATGAAAATCCTGAAGATCTGTGACAATAAATCAGGATGACCAGCTCCATCCCAGTTTGAGGTTGCCACTATATATGGCAACATAGGAACTGAATTCTCTGTTGGATGAATCCCCATGATTTAAGTTTCCAGGCACTCATCATTGTATGCTCTTTCTAGCCCTTTAGTATATTCTTCCTGATCCCCTGATAAGCGGGCAAAGGAAGAACCCATGCTGTTATGCTTGAGAGCAGTGATGTGGGATTCTCCTTGAAGGAAGCTGCTAGGTCACACAGTGAGCATCTGTAAGACAGCTTGCTTCTCCAACCAACCGGAGCACTCTGATTGCTCCAAAGAAGATGGTTCCAATCTGGCTTTCTGTTAATTGTTTGTTTCGCTATTCTAATAAAAAATTCTGACAAAGAAAAAGGAGATTTCTTTTTATGTGATGAATGATTGGACATTTAAATTCCTACTTAATGACAATCAATTTGCCATATACTCTGGCAAATTAAAATTCCTTTAATTAGTTTTTACAAAGTAAAAGGGTAGCTTCATCCTTTATTTAGATAAAAACCACCACTGCCTGACTAAACATATCCTCATCAAATACGGAAAGTAATGCGGGCTGACCTTCCAAGGAGTCTCTCTTATTTTAATTCTTTATTTGCAGATTTTAAATAACTAATTTGCATAATAACATTGAACTTTCCCCCCCAACAATCGCTAATTGAAATGTGGTTATGATGAATCTGAAATGTAAGCTTTGTGTTACAGAGTTGAACAACAAAACCCCTGCTGAAGATGTCACACGCTTCTTTAGCTCTATGGGTAGTAAAGAACTACCTAGTGGAAACCAATGCAAGCTGATGCTTCTGTGGGCTAAACCAAGGCAGTTCTGGGTGGTCAGGAGAGTCAGGCTGTAGATTTTACCCAAGTGGCCCCACCACCATCTCTCTTTTCCAAATCTGAGAACTCATTACTAGAGAGAGTTGGCAAAGACGCACTTCTGACAAAGAAGAATCCAAATAGGTTCTAGATGGAAACACACACATCACTGTTAGTAGAAGAAATAAAAATCCAAGCATGTGCCTCACTCGCAGTCATAGTGTCATATTCACAGAGTGGCTGCTATTGATTTGTGACATGCTTGATGCTTTAGCTTCCTTTTCAGGACCTTGCAAAAGAACATGCACTAACCTGGTCCTTTTATAGAGATGAGAGCTCTGGAGTGATCTGAAAAGTGAGAATGATAGGCTCATTTGTGACCCAAAATAATAACCATATGCCTTAAGGGACTCCAACGTAAGTGACACAAATGTCAGATGATCTTGTTTTCTTCCACTACTGCATATATGAGTAAACCCTCCTGATTTGGAAATGGTTTTTATTTTCCCTAAATGCAACTATTCTGATCTTCCCATGTACTCAGAAACTACAAAAAGTGCTCATGAAATATAGTTTTTTTTAATGCAATGGAGATATATGGAGGGAAATAAATCATTTAATGTAAAAAAAAAATGGGCACTGCTGGCTCACGCCTGTAATCCTAGCAACTCAGGAGGCAGAGACCAGGAGGACTGCCTTTCAAAGCCAGCCCAGACGAAAAAAAAGGGCTGGTGGAATGGCTCAAGATGAAGGTCCTTAGTTCAAGCCCCCATACCACAAAATAAATAAATAAATCCAAATACAGATGAGGTTTGTTCCACTTAATTTCTAAAGCACAAATTCCATGCAACTAAGCAATGACTAAGCAAAGTCCATCATGTATCAAATCTATTCCCTTATTTTCTTATCCAAAGAAGCATGGCAAGATAATTTGTTGATCAGTTATATTTATATATAGCTATTAAACTACAATTGCATGCATCTTCTATGATATCCCTGAGCTAAACAGGAAGTCCCAGGATGGCCACATCTGTGGAAGCAAGGGGACCAGGGCAACCAGTATGTGTTGTTCCTCTTCCCTTCCCCTGGACTGCACAGTTAGACAATCACCTACACTTTGTATCCTTGTTCCCATTTCCTGTAACCCCTCCAGGACTCCAATAAACAACCCTGTCACTTACTATCCATGGCATGAAGATACTCCATGTGGATGGCCCCTGCACTGGCGGTGGCAGCAGAGGGAAGGATGTCTGCATAGGGGCTGCGCTGGCCGGTCAACAGGGCCATCTGGTGATAATACTCTGCAGGGCTGACTCCAGTGTGGGGGGCTAGAGAAGGAGAAAGAAAGCCAAGGTGACAGTTGGAAGATGGTCAGCTAGCCACTTTTGTTAAGGCACCCCAGTCTATTCATGATTCTCTCAACTCAGCCCAATTCCTGTCATGGCTCATTACAGTAAAGCCCCCCCACACACCAATTTTTTTAATTACTGTTGCACTGTAGATACATTGTGACATTTACAAACGTTCTTACAATATTGTAGTTGAATTTACCCCCTTTGTCATTCTCCTTTATCTCTCTCCCCCCCGTTCTTGGAAGTTTTGACAGATCTTATTTTTCCACTTGCATACATGAGAACATAATATTTCCACAATATTCACCCACCTATACCCTTTCTTTATATCCTGCCCCACCCCACCACTGGTACCAACCCCAGACAGGACCTGTTTTATCTTCCTGTTCTCCATTTTTATTTAATAAAATGACATTTAAATTTTTTTAAGATAGCTATACAGAGTGTTTCATTGTGACATTCCCATGTATATATGTACTATAATCTGAATTGGTTGATCCAACCAAACTGTGCTTTCACCAATATTAGATATCTTTTATTTGGAAGTAAAACTGAGGAAAATAGAAAAAAATAAAACACATTACAAAGTTTTTGATATTTGTTTAAAGAAACCAACAAGAATTCAAAATGATTAAGACATAATAATCATATATCCCTTAAGACAGAGATTAGCAATTTTTTCATTGTGTAATCATAGAGAACATTCATACAAACTAAGACAGCAACATCAACTAAGTGACATAATCTTATGGGGCCTCCACTGTGAGTAGGTTATTCCAATGTACATTGTTACAAGGCTCATGGCTCTATGAATATAGCCATGTCTGATCACCAAAAGAAAAGTTTCTCATACCAAATCACTGTATGTTCATATTTCTTACAATAGTAGACAACTCAGACAACTGTGATATCTTTCCAGACATACTTAAAATACTTTGCTAAGCTCTTGACAGGAGTGTCTGACTTAATGCTCACTAACATGAGGAGTCAGGGTTTACAAGGAGAAAAAAAGGCAGTATAGCTTTAATGACACACAACTGAACGATAAGCTGCAATTTTGTGTTCCATAATTTAAAAGCTCTTGTTTCCTTTTTTTTTCATTACAAAATCAAAAAGAAAATATACCTATCAATCTGGAGCAATTTACTGGCAAGAGTCAGCTTTATACAAGTGGGACAATCATCAGCTTCCACCTGCCAATTTACGTGCAAAAGCAGCAAGACATTGTGGTAGTTCTGAGGGTGGCCTTCAGATTCTCAGAGATCTGGATTCAAACCAGCTCCATGAAGTTGTTCAGAGCAAAAAGTAAAATCATGCATGAAGAGTGCTTAGCACATAGCATTCAATCAGTAAAAGTCAGGTTTGCTATGATTATCTAGAAATATCAGTATCCTGGCAGTAAGTCTGTGATGTTTGTGTCTACATATTTTTATGAGTGATACATGGTAAAGATAGAAATTTTAAAAAGACTTTCTAGACTACAAAGTTCTATATATTAGTGACATTATTTGACTGGGTATTAGTTGGAGCGTTGAGAGGCAGGTGAAGGAAGGCAGATCAATTAATTCAAGTAATGTTTTATTTATACTCATCAAATGCTATAGAAATCAGACAATGAACATGCTTTCATAAGGTAACTGCAGGTACCACTTTCCTCTGGCCCAACTAAATTCCCACACACCAGGCATAATTCCACATCTTCTTTGAGCTGCCAGCCCTGCTCCCTCTGTCTTCTCTCCTTGTTGGTTATTTCTACCAACTAACAACCACTCCATGGAGAAGACTATTTCCCCTACTGCAAAATCAAATCCTAAGCAGCAGACCTAACTCAGATTTGACTCTCTTACAGTTTTGCTTTTAAAATGTGACTCTTGCTCAAATGGCAAGACTGACTTTTTGGACACTTTACAAGTATATTCACTGCGTTGACTAAAAAGGCAAATGGGCTGGTGACTTGCTAGAGGAGAGTTATCCTTGCTTCCTAAGAAACATCATGCAGCTTCCTACCATGCACAACTAGCCTCAGAAAGCAGTCTATGTGCAGAATGTGGAGGAGAGACACAGAAGTCGCATCAAGCACTGTTCTGTGAAATGAAGTGCATGATGTTCCTTTTTGCTCTGAGATACTCGACAGTGACTTATAATCTGTTTCAAAGAACTCATAGCATGCTGTCTGCAATAGTAAGGGTTATGCAATTCTGAATCTTAATTCACAGTCCAGTATTTGTGAGCAAGCAAATGTTTATATATGTGTATCTATGGGCAAAAGATAAGAAATACTTTTCCTGAATTGAAAGAATGCATTATATCTTGACAGTAGGGGGAAGACCCAGCTCCAATTAAAAAGTCATGTGGAAAGTTAATTGGGAGGCAAAGAGAACCAACAGATATTTTAGGCTTGACAGCATCCTAAAATAAGCATCAGGTATTATACAAATAAAGTCTAAGTTTCTTTCTTTCCCTACTCTTCTAGTTCTGGTGTTTACTTGGCATGGTCAACGTTAGAAGGCACACACAACAGGTCTGGACTATCATGTTTTCTATGCCCTTGCTACTCAGAGCATGGTCCCTGGACCAAAAGCAATGGCATGACCTGAAAAGGTTTTACAGGTGCGCTCCTTATTGGTTGCGTCTAACAATTCTCACTCTAGAGAGATAACTCGCCACTTCCCTTACTGCAAAATCAAATGCAAAGCCCCACCCAATGCAGAAGCAATTTTGTTGCAACCCGAGGTATTCACAAGCATGGTAGATTTGTCAAGCAGTGCCCTCAGAGACTCATCTGCATAAATACGTCTCTCCGACAAACAGAACACAAAAGTGTTCATGGGAAGGTGGGGAAAGCACTCAGGTCACTCGTGCACACTTGGGAATGTCTGCAGTGCCTGTCTGATCATGTGTGGAGTGGCAGAAGGGCACAGGGGTAAAGAGCACGGACTGGGGAGTCAGTAAGACCTGGCTTTGAGGTCCACCTCCGTCACTACTAGCCATGGGGTGGTCAAGGTGCAAGTCGCGTGATCCCTCTGCCCACTGCTATCCTTACCCGCAAGTGAGGATAGTAACACTCCCTGAGCAGAAGACTGACATGACAACGCGCTCTGAAGTGTGGGAAACCTCTCTAAACACTAGATCTACTTGACACAATGTCCCTGTTGAGGTGCGGAAGGAGGTGGTTCCATCTTCTGAAGCGGAATCTCTTCTGAGACTCACCATCTGTAGGGCTCAGCCCCCGGGCCGCCGAGATCATGGAGAGGGAAGGGCTGCTGTGCAAGGAGCGAATGTAGTCCATGTACGGGTTGATGTAGGGGTGTGGGGGGCTGAAGGGAGACTCGGAAGCTGCAGCGGGGTTCCGGTGCGGGGAGATCCTGATGAATGGCAGGTCCGAATACGTTGGGCTACTAGATAAGGCAGAAGGCCTGGGTACACAGAAAACCAGACATAAGAGGAAGGCATGAGGCATGTATCTCCATAGGCAGAGACTACCTGTGAAGGAAAATAAGATTTGAGGTGAATTCATGGTGTCTTGGGGGAAATATCAGGTATAAACATTTCCAGTAGGCTTACTTGATTTTAACCAGGATGATAGGACTGGCAGAGTGGCTCAAGAGGTAAGAGAACCTGCCTAGCAAGCACTGAGACCCTGACCCTCCCTGAGTTCAAACCCCAGCACCACAAAAATAAATAAATAAATAAATAATCAGGATGTTATAATGCAGGTCCAACATTACCATGAAATCATTTGGCTTAAAAAAAAAGAGAGAGAGAAACTTGGGGGATTTCACAGGTCTCTGAATATAAGCAAATCAAGATCAGTTTTTGGTTCCCCTCACCCCATGAGAAGAAATTCTAAATAACAGGCAACTGAGATTAAAGTGGTTGCTATGATTTTATTTTTCATTTGACTCAAACAGTAATGGCATCATTTAAAACTCTTACTATCATGGTATTGCATTAAAAAAAAAATGCTAGCACTACAACCTCACATTTGTCTGGTTTAGATGTCCAGGCATGCCTGTGTCAGAGTTTTCCATAAATAGGAAAGAAGACTAACTGCAAGGCTGTAAGAAATGTAAAATCCATCCCTCTATGTATCCATGCATGCGTTTCACTTTGAAGGGTCAGGCATTGGTGGGTTGAATCAAATTTATAGTCTGGGGGTTCACTGCTTTGAAGGCAACTTCTTTTCTCCATGAGGCAGCCCTCCAGATCAACCAGCTTTCTGCTTATGCCCCCCTTTCATTTGGCACCCTGATCAGCCATGTTTCATAAGTAATCAGCAACTAAGTAGTTCACCACCTTTCTAAGTAGAAAGGTGGTGAAGTGAAGGTAGAGTTAAAGTTTTGGCTAATGCAAATAAATTCTAAAACACACCTTGATAGCATCGTATGTTACTCTGTGCTGGGACATTCCTCTGTCTGCCACATCACATACCTCCCAGCACACCCCCAAATCCCCGGGGATAGTCACATCTACAATGGCCAGTTTGAGTAGCTCCCGCACTGCCTTGGTCCTTCTCTAATAGAAAGCATCTTGTGGATAATCAGTACAATTTAATATGCCTGGTGTCTAAAGTCATTTTTCCTCAATTTCATTGATGGCAAGTTACTAGATAAAATAGAATGATGTACTTGATATTTTTCGGAAGGAGCTGATAACTAGGAGAAGTAAGTTGTCAAGTATCCTATTCATTGGCCGTCATCCGCTCAAAGAAATAGAAATAAAGGGAACAATTAAAGTAAGCATATATTTTTTTATGCTATTCCAGAAATGAAAGAGCAGCTGGCTCTGGGCAACAGACCCTGGTACGTCACGGCCACTAATCATGAAAAGAGCTTATGGTGATAAGCATAACATTGCTATAAAGTCTTAACCTCAATCAACGGATGGAAAAACAGGAATCACATAAGAAGCAGAAAGATCTATAAGGAGATTTTCCTCTTCACTACTGTATAGAAGAAAAAAAAGAAGTTAAATATAAGAAAGCAGGTGGGGGAGGGTGTTTGTAGGGAGGAATTTTTTTTCACTTGCATGTTTATTGGGACATAGAGAGAAGAGAAAGAGATATAATGAGTGCTACTGAGCAGGTTTTTGGGGTGTGAAGGGGTAACAAATAAAACCACACAGTGTATGCCTGAAATATGATTGTTGGTGAGATAGTAGTGAAAATACCACTAGACGAGGAAAGTATTCACATGCTGTTTCTTTTTCGCATAACAATCTCGCCAAGCTTTCTTATCTTCAGTCATCATCAGGAATTCAGGGCAACTATTGCATTTGGATTTCAATAATGTGTGGATTATTGATATAATAATTCAATGTAACTTTGTAGCTGACTGCTTCAAAATAGCGATATAAGAAGAGGGATGTTCAGATGGGGGTTCTGTATATAAATATATTTTCTGGTGCTCAATAGTAATAACAAAAAGGACTGTATGATCTCGTTTCATTGAATAATTAAACAAAACTAGGAACATATTATGACGTGGATGAAGAGTCATAGCTAGAAAGCTCTATTTCTTTTAGCTGACTCTTTACTCATAATGCATATTGTGCTTAGTCGATCCACATCGTGAATATAGTCATTATTTCCACTTCAGCTTTCCTACTTTTATGAATGGTCATTCATTAACAAACTGCTAACAATCTCAATAATGTTTTATAGTTATATTTATATAGGATGACTTGGGATTGTGTTAGTTGCCTGATAGATTTTCGTATCATAAAAGATAAGGTTTTGGGCTGTTTCTATTTTTTTCTAGTCACACAAGTAATTACTTTCTCCTAGCGTGAATAATATACAAGCCAGACGGAAGCCTCTTTACTAGACCACAAACTTGTTTTTAAGTTATGTGGAGAGACCATCGTAGCAGACCTCAGAAGAGCAGCCACCTGAATGTCGCCAACGAAAGCATTACTGACAACTAACTAATTTGACTACTCAGTCGATTACCCCTAATGTCTGACCTCACGACAGAACCTCAGAAGGTTAAATTGATACATTAAATTAAAATGAGGATCTATAGACTTATTAATTTCATTTATTTATCATTAATTTAGTTACTAATCGGATATGGGACTTTGTTATTCTTGCTATAATATTGCCATAGAATTGAGACGTAGGTATGTAAATAAGTCATCCCTAGAGAGTCAAATTCTGTTTTGGAGAATCATGCACAGGAAGACGAATGAGCGGCTGGGTTCAGTGGTCACCAATCCCAGAGAAAATCAAGGAAACTGAGAGCCAACACTGTTCTTTCCTCACTGAAGACTGGAAGTCTGACATCCACTCCACTGCATCACTCTCTGTGACCTCTTTTCCCACAACAATGGCCAAAGGCCACCACTGTCTAAGTTCTGTGTGACTAAGAAGTCAAAACCTGGTTCTGTCTTCTCTGGTGGGGTGCTGCACTCTGCAGACCATTTACACAGACTCCACTGTGTCTTGTTCAAATGTGTAAGCTATGGGATCACTCTTTCCAAAGATGGTGGTAGTTAACTGCCCCGAGGAGACAAGCCAGATTATCTACTAATAAAAAGCCATCCATTCCTAGTTTAAGAATAAGAAAAGTGTCAAACTGGCAGCAGGTATGTGTAGGAGTCCAGCTTTGTTCCTGGCAGTCATGTGACCTCAGTCACAATTCTTCCTCTTGCCTTGTACTTAACTAGCAGAGAGCATATCTATCTTGTGGGAATCTTGGAAAACTAATATAAGTAAAGTCTCATGTACTGAGCCTAGTACATAATGAATGCTCAGTATATACATACATACATATGTGTACAGACATACATATATGTGTACAGACATGCAAATTGACATAGGATGCATGCACAAATACATAAACTTGCACATACATATCAGGTATAGCAAATTCAGCATACTATATAATTACAAATATTGACATGCTGGGGCTTTTTATTAAAAGACTTTCAGAACAACTTTAGATTCACAGCAAAATCGAGCTGCAGCAGAGAGATTTCCATCCACAGCCCCCACATGTGTGTAGCCAATATCCCCCACCAGAGCAGTACCATTTTTATTTTTACAACTGATAAACCAAGACGAGCACATAATTATCACTCAAAGTTCATTGTTTACATTAGGGTTTGCTCTTGGTGTATATTCTGTGTGTCTGGACAAAGGTACAATGACACATAGACATTATTACAGTATTATACAAAGGAGTCCTGAAGCCCTAAAGTGGCTTTGTCAGTCCTTCCCTCTGTCCCCGACCTCTCAACTCAACTCCGGAAGCCACTGTTTTTGTTACTGCTTACAGTAATTGTTTTGTGATCCCAAACTTGTATTATATTTTGGCTTGGATTCTTTTACTTAGTAATATGCATTTGTTTCCTCCACGTCATTTCATGGCTTGATAGTTCATTTTCTTTCAGCACTAAGTAATACTCCACTGTCTGGATGAATCAGTTTACTTATTCATTCACCTAATGAAAGACATCTCGGCTGCTTCTAAGTTTTGGCAATTAAAAGATAGTTGCTACATGCATCCAAATGCAGAGTCTTTCCAAAGCAAATCTGAACATACGAGTCCACTTTGTCCCCTCCCTGAGAGCACTTTGGAAGCACCTCCTTAGACTTCTCAAAATTCCTTCAGTGAAGTCTAAAGCTGCATAAGGTTGTCAAGAACATGGACTCATGAATTAAATGCAAGGCCTTTGAAGAACCTGGATTTGAATTCAACCTGTCACTTGCTCTCACTCAAGCATCACTTTCCTTTGTTTTTTCGCTGTATTGTTGTGATGGATGGGGGTACACTGAGGCATTTATACAGATTCTTATAATGTATCAAATAGATCATACGTTAATTCACCTCCTCAACCATTCTCCTTTATCCCCATCCCTCCAATTCCTACAGTAGTTTCAACAGGTAGCATTTTTGCATTTACATACATGTGTATACATTTTTTGTACCATATTCAGCCTCCTACCCCTTTCCCCAACACCTCCCCTCACTGGAACCAGACCTCCCCCACCCACCCCATATACACCCTGGGCAGGACTTGTTCTGCCCTCCTGTTCTCCAATTTTGTAGAAGAAGAAAGAGAAAAGATAAAGAGAAAAACATGATATTTTAGCTTGTTTGAGATAAAGGTGACTACACAGGGAGTTTCTTTGTGAAGTATCACTTTCCTTACACATAAAATGGGAACACTAGTATTGCCTAACAGATCCACTTCCAAATTCTTGGCAGCTAGATCATTTACCAGTCATTATGTTTAAAAGTACATTTGAGAGGAAAGCTAGGCTCCTTAAGTTTAGCAGAGAGATGTGTGTTCACCACTGTGTAGAGGAGTCACTCAAGATTATGACTAGAGGAGTAGTGAATTCCATGGAAGGAAGTGTGGATAGGGTAGCCACAAAATGTCCCATTGTAAATGACACATATTTTTACAAACT